AGGAGGAGGAGGAGGAGGAGGAGGAGGAAGAGGAAGAGGAGGAGAAGAATAAAAAAAGAAAGAAAGGATTCAAGTGAAAGAGAGGGAGGCAAGGAAAAAAGAAGGGAGACATGGAAAGATTCAGAGTTTAAAAACAATGTTTTAAGGAAAGAAAATATCAAAAGAAAAAGAAGGAAGGACCAAAGAAAGGCAAGAAAGAGAGAGCACACAAGGGAAGAGGAAGAACAAGCACTAAGAAGGAGCACTGGCTGCTTTTTGGAAAGGATGTCATGGAGTTGGGCCAGGTCAGTGCTCCGATGGTGGAAGGAGCCCCTGAGGGCCTGAGGGTGCCACCTCATACTCCCCGTACCTGCACCAAGACCCACCCTGCACCTAAAGCACCACGGCTCATCCCCAAGCCCCACAGACCCAGGCTGGGCTTCCTGGCCCAAAGGGTGGCAGGCAGCCATAGCGACCCACCGTGGAAGCACAGCAGGTACTCCTCTCGCTGCCCTGCGCCGTTCACCTGAACGATCGAGACAGGGAAGCTGTTGGACGAGGAGGCAAACACAGCAGGAGCCAAGGAGTGGTCATTCTTGTCTAGGAATTCTGGAAAGGCAGGTGAAAAACAGGGCTTCAGGAATGATTTCCAAGCCTCTGAAAGCCCTGAGCTACACGTGGGGTAGGGAAGGGGACACTGGCCCTACCCTCCAGTGTGTACTGCTTCATGTCGATTTCGTAGAATTTGTTGGTTCCAATGAGGATACTGTAATTGGTAAAGTGGATACAGCTGCAGGGCTCTGAGGTCTCTATCTCCTGAGACAAAAGGGCAAAGGAGGCCATGAGAGATGACACAGGACAGCCCTGCTTCCATTACTATTCTGTTTCTCCCTTAAGCTTCTAAGCAAACCACACAGATGGTGAGACTTGCTCACACATTTTACAAGCCCACTCTTGTGTTTCTCATAGTGACCTGTTTTCTACCTCTTCCTGTTGCTCTAGGCAACCCAGGCTTTCTTAGAAAACAAAGTCAAACAGTAGCCAAAAAGGCTCAGAAACATAATTTCCATGAAAAGGTAGAACTTACACTCTTATCAAAAAAAACAAACAACAACAAAAAAAAAAAACACTAGAGAAAGATTGTTAACAGGGGCAGTCAAGAAACATGGTTTATTTCCTTTCTTTTTGCTGAATTTCTAATCTGAACCTGTATTACTTATACAATTATCACCTTCAGTAGCATGACAATCCCAACTTAATTATCTGCTTCCTAATGATTAATACTTGCTCAAAAGAGTCAAAGCATGCTTATTAAAACTGGTGGCCCCAGATCATAAAGAAGCAATGGCTGCTGAGAATTTGCCTGAAGCTAAAAGTTCAAACCTTAAGCTGCATCATTCTTATCTCTGAATAATTACTAACTACCTATTATGTCTGAGTAAACTTTGGAACAGCATGATACACTGAAGCAGTACGAAAAAAAATCAAACATTTTTTGTTTTTCAACTTTGCACTTCAGGTTCTCTCCACACCCTAACTGGGCTGCCTGGAAATTGGGCAACTGTCGTAAAGTATAAAATAGTCAGCCCAGTCCCTGGTAGCAGTGGTCACTCAATCAATACGCAAACCAAACTAACAATATCTGGCCAGAATGAAGCTGCTTCTCTAACAAGTGAAAATCGCTATATATTAGCCACACCTCCCTTCATTTTGGGACTAAATCCTGAAAGCACCTAAAATAAACCAGGCATGTGGTGGCAGCGCATCCTTAGCCTGGGAATGGTAAACACCTCGCACAGAAGTGAGGCAAACTCAAGAGTCCCAGCCGCAGTCATCGCCACTACACACCCTGTCCTGGGAAAGCAGCGCCCTAATCACAACTCAGAACGAAGCCAGGACTGCTTTGTCCCATGTTAGCAGAAACCTCATCGAGACTCCAAGAAAGATTCGGGCAAGTACTATCCAGGACTGCTTCCTTCTCAGAAAGAGCAGCTTCCTTTTGCTACTGGCTCAGATGAAAACTCTGCACCATCAGCTGGCTCTCTGCCTTAACAAAAGGCTGAACTCACTGGGTCAGGACGGGGGGCAGTTTCTAAGCAAAAGAGAAGCAAGAGGGGAAACTAGCTTTGGGAGGCTCCAGGCTCTTCCAGGAAAGAAACACTTCACTCTCTAGGGAAGTCATGGTGTCGCCATGTCATGGTGAAGGATGACCAAGCAGAAGGACCAAGACACACGCTGTTGCCCTAGATAGCATGCTGTTCACACTGGCTTCCCGGGAGAGCAAGCCGGCTGGGCTCCAACTTACCTTCCGAATACAATACTTGCCGAGGTTTTCATTGTAGCGGAGGATGACCACCTTGCTGGGTGTGGCAGCACAAATGCAGAGACCATTCTCAATCTCAAAGGCCACCGGAAAAAGAAAAAAAGTCACATGAATATTAACTCTGCAGCAAAACTAGCAAAAGAATGTCAGTTTCGAACAGAGTCTCTCCACCTCAATCTTGCCAACAGTTCTGGTCACAATATCCTGTAGTAGTGGCGGGGTGAGGGTCCTGTGCTTCATAGGGCGATGGGCAGCATCGTGGCCCTGCCCACTAGACACCTGTAGCATCCTCCAGGTGTGAAAATGAAAAGGTCTCTAGACTTTAACACTGTCCCCTGCAGGGCAGAATTGCCACTGTTGAGAACCACTGCTTTAGCTGGGATCAGGAGACGGAATTAAGGATCCACCTGAGTCCAAGATATATTTTGTGTGTTTGCACCTTTGGCTGGGGAAAAATTCTTTTGGCAATTTCATGCTGAGGAGAAGAGGAAAGAAGGAGAAAAGGGAAGAGAAACTGCTATAATAATTTAAGAGAAAAATTCACCAAGGGAAATAGTTCCAAGCTACGACCTGTACACATAGAGTTCTACATCAAAACTCCTCTTTGCTACAACAGTTGAATCTCTCTTCTCTCACTTCCCAGAACCAGGCCATTGTCAAAGGAAAAAAAAAAAAAAAAAAAGAAGTCTATTACTCAAATCTGTCCTGAAATGACTGCTATGCAGTTGGGGAGGAGGAAAGGAAAGAGCAAACAGGTAGGAAAATGGAATTTGTCAGTGCTGTTTTTCCTTGAGTTGAGTGGTGGGTTTGTGAATATTTACTACATTATTGCACTTTATGATTTACATGTACATTCCTCTAATTTAAAAAAACTAATTTTCAGAAACTAAAATGCACAATCTTAATCATTCACAGGACAGATTTTTTTTTTTTTTCATTTATTCGGTACAGGGTCTCACTATGCAGCTCAGACTCATAGTGATCCTCCTGTTTTCAGCCTCCCCAGTGCTGGGATTACAGGCATGAGCCACCATACCTGGACTCAGTGGCCGATGCAGTGTGCCCCGGGGGAGGAAGGGCAGGACCTGGGTGGGTTGACACGTGGTGCTGGCAATCAACCCCCAGGTCCCTGAGCTTTCCTAAGCAGGCACTTAGTCCACTGAGCTATCTCATTAGCCCTAACTTTTTTAATGGGGGAAAAAAAGCTTAAACAAGGAGGTAAAAAAGTATATTTATATGCCATATTTCAATTTGCTAGAGATTACAGGAGCATTAACTTGGGCTCTGGTGAACTGACTTTGTGCTATACAGTTGGCCTTCTGCAGCAACAGGTTCTGAATTTGCAGATTCAATCAGCATAGATTAAAAATGTTTAGGAAAAAAACTGCATCCATATTAGACATATGCAGCCCTCTTTTTCTTATTATTCACTAAACCACATAGTATAACAAGTACTTACATAGGATTTATATTGTATTAAGGATTAAAAGTAATCTAGAGATGATTTTTTGAACACAGGACAATACACACGTTATATGTAAATATCACAACATTCTATACAGCATGAAGGACCTGAACATTCTTGGAGTTTGATATGTCTGGAAGATTCTGGAACCCATCCTCTGTTGATACTGAGGGGTAACTGTGTAAATGTCATGAATTAGAATCTGTAAAATTCTATCGTTTCTCGGCCTTTTGGCTAAGATCAAGTGTAGAATGTGTAAAATTCTAGTAATGAAATGTCCTTTTGGCTGGGGAGATAGCTCAGTAGAATAAGCACTTGCCTGGCAAGCACAGGGTCCTGAGTTCAATCCCCAATTCCAAAAAAAAAAAGAACTGTCCCTTTACCTACTTCAGACATGGAGTTCCAGAATAGAATGTTTCAATGTTTCTGAAGACTCACAATACGCACACACAATTTTTAAAACGATGGAATATTCTTTAAGTCTCATTAACTGCGCTCACATTTTTCTTTAAGAAATTTCTTGCAGATTCAAAGTCTATTCAAATTTGTCATGACTATTCCAATTATTTCATGTGCCTTAAAGGGAACAAAAATCCAACCCCGTCTGAGGATACACAACGTTAACATTCAAATCGATAAGGTGTTTGGGCAGAAGGACAGTGCCAGTGTGAAAAATACCCACCAGTGGAGGCCTAAGGAGAGCTCACCTTGCCAGCACCAAACAGGTGGCAGCCCTTGACAGCTTCGAAAATGTTGGGCGAGATGTCTGGCTGGGCAGGAAGGTGCGACTGTGCCAGAGACTGCTTCACTTTCTTCACATCTACCAGACACAGGGCCCGCTCTTCTCCTGAGTAGGAAAGGGCAGCCTCTTGTCAGTTCAGAACCAGAGCAAAGACTGTGGGAGGTGGGGGCGGGGGCCGGGTCTGGCCATGAAGTAGAGCCACAGGCGGCTTGGGGATAAACTGTTTTCCACACATCTCTACACAGTCTGAGCATCTGAAATGCTGGGGGAGAGGGGGCAGAAGTGCCTCACATTTTGGATTTGGAATATTTGCATATACAAGTTGGGCCAGGTGGTACACACTTGTACACCCAGCACTCAGGAGGCTGAGGCAGGAGGACTGCCTCAAGTTTGAGGCCAGCCTGGGCTACAAAGTGAGTTCAAGGCCAGCCTGAACTGTATAGTGAAGCTCTATCTCAAAAAGATAAGAAAAAATAAATAACTTTTAAAAATTAGCCTATATATATTATGAGCTACCTCAGGGATGGAATCCAAGTCTTAACATGAAATCCACATGCATCTCATACGTATGCTCCTGAAACACACAGCCTGAAGGTGACTGCATACGTCATACTGCAATCCATCACATGAGGCCAAGTGTGGAATATTCCACCTGTGGCAAGGCTGGCACTCAAAAAGTGTTAGACTCTACAGCACTTTGGACTTTATGATAAGGGATGCTCAATCTATAAACTCATTTTAGGTCCATATTTTTAATCTAGGATAAAAACATTTGATCTTTGAGTCAAAGTTCCAGAAAGCTAATTCTGCAGATATAAAGTTGGCAAATACAAGCTAAACTTTCTAACTTGAAGAAAGAATTTGTTAGACAGCAAGGAGGGGACATTCACCAAAACATTAGGCTTAGACTATTCATGCATAACTGACTATGTCAAGGTCATAAAAGACAGAAAGAGGAATGAGGAACTGTTCCAGATTAACTACAACTAAAAGCACAAAATTAAATGCAATGCATTTTATCTTAGGTTGTATCATGAGTGGGGGCAGTGAGCAAAGAAAACATTATCAGGGCCACAGATAAAATCTGACTGGGCAGTGTATGAAGCAAGAGTTAAGTTTTCTGAATACAAAAATTGCATCCTGTGAAATTATTCTATATGATACAATAAGTAATAAGTAATTATACAATGTCAAAACCCATAAGATGTAGAACACTGAGAGCTACAGACTTGGTGTGATAGCGAGGTGCTTGGTGTGATAGCGAGGTGCTAGTGTAGGTTCATCAGTAGCAACAAACATACTGGGATGTGCATGTTGATGATGGGGAGCATACGGGTGCCCGAAGGGAGGTATAAGGGGAAACTCCGTACCTTCCTCTCAATTTTGCTGTGAATCTAGCTCTCAAAATAAAATCAGAGAGGAAGGCAAACAGGGAGGGAAGGAGAGCAGGAAGAGAAATAGCTGAGAGATCCTGAAACCTATTCCTGACCACATTATTTCATTCTCTGCACCCAGTCATGCCTGAAACAAGATCCAATTATAAGTGTTTTAAACCTTTAGCTAATATATTACTGTTTTTCCATTAAAATAAAACAGCTGAGCTTGGGGGTGCACACCTGTAATCCCTGCATGCTGAAAGGCTAGTGCAGGAAGATCATAAGTTCAAGGCTAGCCCGGGAGATTTAGTGAGATATTGTCTCAAAGTAAAAAATATAAAGGGCTAGAGATTTAGCTCAGTGCAAAGACCCAAGGTTCAATACACAGTACCAAAAGAAGAAAAAAAACTTCCAACAAAGAAAGAAAAGAATTGGGCCATAGTCACATGAAAGAATACCCTGTCTTAGACTGACATGCTGAAGAACTTATAATATGCCTACAATAAACTTTCAAATACTTCAGATAAAAAGGTGTGTATGTGTGTGTAGATGTTAGCAAGTGGTGAACCTAGGTGAAGGGTGTACAATTATGACAGACATAAGAACATGACCTTGGTGCCCAAGGTGGTAATGTGGGTGGTGCTGGGAATCTTTAAGAGGAGGGGCCTAGTGGGAGGTCTTTAGGTCATTGGGGGCGTGATCTAGAAGACAGTTCTTGTGAGACTTGCATTCCCAGGAGAGGACTGTTATAAAAGGAGCAGCCCTGACACCACTCAGGTTGCCTGTATGGAGATGTCACCTGCCTGCTTCTGCACATGATCCCACCACGCTATCTGCCAAGAGGGGAAACAGCTGAGGATGGGCCTCAAACCAGAGCTGGGAAATTTGGACTAAATTAACATCTTTCATTAGTAGCCTACCTTAGATATTTTATTATAAAGGGAAGAAGCTGACTAATATAGCATTCTTCACTTGGCATAATAGTAAGCTCTTCTTTGAAGATGTCAGACTACCACACTGGACACCAAAGTGAACCAATGTGAACAGAAAGTCCATCCACTGCATCAACAGAAACACAGAGGCAAAGAGCCACCACTGCACCAAGCTGTGATCAGGAAGCCCTGCGTTTGTGCTTCTCAAGCATGAAATTTGGCTCTAAAATTGTCTCCCCAAAAAGCAAAGAAAAGGGCTATATCCTTGGCTTCACACCTGCTATCATGAGTAGTTTCTCCAGGTCCTTGATGATATAAATTTGGAAGACTGCTCCAATTCCTGGGACATGGGTTAAGGAGTTTTTCAAGACATTCAGTGCATAGAGCCCTTCCTCAGTGCCCACCAACACCACCTGTGAGGCAGAAATCCAAAGGCAGAAGGTAAGTACAGGTACATCACCAGGCAATCCCGAAGCCAGAGCTCCAAATCCTCCTCAGCCCTTGCTCGCCTGCGTGTGAGGCTGTGGCCCGTGACCATTACCGTCCCCAGCTGACAGTGCCCCTAAAATGGTACCTGGTCACTGAAGGGCAGTGTGCAGTTCATGTCTAGCCGGTCATCACCTTCCAGTTTCAGCAGGGAGTTTCCAAGTAATTTCTTTTCAAATATCAAAGGAAAGATAAGAGAAAAGAAGGCAGTGAGACTGAAATGTTTAAAACCAAACCACCCAGAGACAGAGAAATTTAAAGGTAACTTCAGAAACACACAACTGCTCTTAGCTGGTCCCCATTTTAAAATTATTATTATCATTCTCATCACTATTATTATTTGGCTGCTGGAGATTGCATTCACGTCTGCATATGTTAGGTGTGTGTCCTACCACAAAGCTATATTCCCCAGCCTCTTGCACTGTATTTTATCAGAACTCCAAAGGCAAGAAGTGGGTATCACCAATCTCTCTGGGCCAGGTGTTAAGCTGCATCAGAGTTTTAACTCTGCTTAGGTGCAGAAATAAGTATTATAAGCGAAAAAAGCTATTCTGCAATAGGAAATAAGTTGAAAACACAGACATTTCACCTGCCAAGTGTTAATAACCCATATGGAAGCCTCTTTCCCGTCTTTCTTCTTTTCTGCAGACTGCAGAAAAGTGCAAACTAGCGTTTGCAGCAAGACCAATAAGCCTGATTCTCTTTACCTGAACCCACAAAGGCAGAATCTAGTAGGAAATAGAGTATCGGGCCAACTGTGCACATGGATTTCTGTAAAAGGCTCACATATGCAGCAATAAAACAGTTTAAAAGCCTATCCCATGGACAAACATCTTCTCCAGAGGCTTATGGGTAAGCATTTTGAACTGCTAACCTTTCAAGTGTTTATCAGGAACTAAGTGTCTGAAAGGAGCTGTTCAGTCTTCAGGGGAACAACCGCTGATGAGCAGTGAGCAGTGTTTGCTTCCTGAAATGTTCTAGGAGGAATGATGTCTATCACAGCACACCTACATCTCTAACATCTTAAGGATAAGTAGGATTTCAAACCTTCCTATGGAAGAGCAAATACTGCAGAAGCAACCAGGAAGATAACAAAGAACCTTCCTCAAGTAAATTGCAAGTTGGCAGCCTATTATGCTGTTTTCTAGCCAAAGTGCTTTATAACTCAAGTCACCAAACCAAAAGAACACAGCTGAGTAAACGAGAGGATTTCCTTGTAAGTTCACTGGCTGCTGCGTTGCCATAACCAGCCAAGGGTTGGCTGCTGCTGCTGCTTCACCAACTCTACACATCTAAAAAGGGGGGCTCTGGATGCTGCATGGCTGCCTTGGAGCTTGTGCCCTCTTGCCACAAAACTGGTCCTGACCCAGTCTAGAGGCATCGGCTCTTAGACAGGGAGCCAAAAGGAAAACAACAGCCAGTAGGATGCCTGCCCATCATGAACATCAGTTACCCTTGTGCTCGCTTTGGCAGCACACTTAATAAGATCAGTTACCAAAGACCAGCCCACTCTACAAGGACAAGCGCCAGTGTCCGCGTTCATACTCACAGCATCAGCTTCTGCCTTTTCCCTAGAAACTCTCCCACCTGCAACAACTGATTCTAAGGCGGTGACCCAGCGCTGTTTGTCGGGAAAGCTGGGAGCTAGCAAGTAGAGGGTTCTCCCCGGCCAGCAGGTGGTGTGTGGGTGAGACTCCATCTTCAGTATGTATGGAACATCTAGGAGATTTCAGAGAGCACAGGATTGGGTGTGGATTTCCCGCTGGTAGGTGTGGCCCTGAGACATCAAAAAACCCACCAAACCATGCGAGCCCCGGTTACTGCTGAGGTAGAGCAGCAGAGGATGGTCAGCCTCCTTGGCAGGGCCAATGCCCCGTGTCCCCTCTGCGCTCTCCCCACTTGCCAAGCCCAGCCCACATCCAGAGCTGGTCTTCTCCAGGTCCCCTCACCTGCTTTGGCTGTGTTTGCGAGTTCAGAAGCACCAACGGCACCATGAATAGATACGTCCCCGTCGGGAAGGCAGAGCTCAAATTCTTCCACCGGTCTCTGTCCAGCTTGTTGCAAAGAGGAAGGGCAGAAAGAAAAACAAAAGAACAGGACCAAGAACAAAGGGAGAAGACAAAGAGGAAGAGCCAAAGGAAGAGGAAGGCAGAAGAGAAGGGAAGAAAAGGGAAAAGAAGGGAAGAGAGGAAAAGGAGACAGGGTACGCGTGTAAGGAGAGATGCACAAGAACAAAGAAAGAGAAAAGGTGTGCAGAGAAGGCAGAGGAGGGAAGATAAAAAAAAATAAAGTGTGTCAGATGAGTAGCACAGTCAAATTTCTGATGACGATGCGGATTTATGGGCTAGTTGGCTGAGGCGGAAGTTCTCTGAAGGTGTATTAGCAGGTGGAATCTTCAGGGCAGCACCCTGCGGGTTCTTCAGGGGGAAGACCTATAGATGTGAGTATCGCACCAATAACCTTTAGAGAAGTCATTTGGCTTTTCATTTTCAAAAATGGGAAAGTGGAGAAGGCTCGCGAGGCAGTCCAAAAACAAAACAAAACAAAACAAAAAACAAAGCCTTCACACCAACACTGGGAGACCTGGGTTAACCACGTGCAATGAAATTCCCCCTGAATTATTAATTTACCTTCTCTGGCTTCATTGTCATAAATGAGGACTTTTGATCCCTCTAATACAATGTATTTCCTGTCCCAGCCTTGCTGTCCTCGTTTGTTATTCCTAGGGAAAAAAGACAGGGGTGAGGAAAAAAGGTTTGCATTTAGAAGAAAGTCAATTCCTAGAAAACATCAGGAGCATAGCAGTGGCCTGTGGCCTTCCTCGCCGGCACCTGCTGGAGCCCACCCAACCCACCAACAATACCTCGGCACTTTCATCCACCCTTCCAGGTGCAGGCTGCTGCTGGGCTCCTTGCTCTGTAGACCTGGGGAGTTCATTTTGTCACGGCAGAAGGCCTCAGTGAAGTGCGTGGCATATTCGGCAGGCAGGCCACAGGTGGCTGGCAAGCAGGTGGAGCACTTGGGGTGACACATCACCTGACACTCTGGCGGAGAACAACAAACAGTCTGAGTGCAGAATATTCCCGTCCTCTCCTCTCTAAGCCAGCCCAGGCATCCAGGTTAAGTCCTAAGCTGTCCTGGGTGCCAGAATCCTACTGGGAGAGGAAAAAAGCCACATGCTCTAGACCCAGTTTTCCTGGCTTCAGAAATTCAGGCTGCCCATGAGCGTGTGCAAAAGGTGTTGGCACATTTCAGCTGGAGCCAGGTGGGGAAGAGACCAGCCTGACACAAAGAGGCTGGAAATTAACAAAGATCGAGGCATTTTCTACATCAAGCTAAAGTCACGAGCTGATGACATGAATGAAATCATTGCTTTTGAGGGGGAAAAATAGAGTCCTCCCACTGAAATGAAAAGCTCAGAAACGAATGCATTATATGATGAGGAATTATCAAAACATCTCCTTCATCAGATGGACTCTTCACATGGCAGCCGAGTCGCCCACTACAGATGAACAAACACTGTGCTTACCGAGACACTTGGATGCTTGCCGTCCAAAGTGCACAGTATCCAGACACACGGCGCACTTTGTGGCTCGCATGTTCAGTCCTACGTTAAATCGGTGAGGAATATTGTGGTGCATGCGCTCCTTGAGACGCCGACTAAATTCTGAGGGGAAAAAATTTTAATATTCATTAAAAGTGCTGCAAAGAAAAATGAAAAGACAATGCACAAAATGGAGAAAATATCTGCAAATCGTATCTGATTGGGGATTTGTATCTAGGATATATAAAGAATTCTCAAAACTCAGTAATAGAAAGAAAACCCAACTGAAAAATGGGTCGAGGATTTGAATAGATTATCTTCCCAGAGACGACAAATAATTAGATGATAAGCACATGAAAAGATGCTCAACATCATTAGCAATTAGGGAAACACAAATTAAAACCACTAGTGAGACAGAACCACCAGGATGTTTAGAATACAAAAAATGGATCACACGCAGTGTTGGTGGGGACATGGAGAAGTTAGAACCTTCAGATGTTCTTGGTAAGAATGCAAAATAGTGCTGCCATTTTGCAACCCAGGCTGGCAAGTCCTCAGAAAAGTTGAATATAGAATTATCAAATGATCCAGCGGCATATATTCCAGAGGATTGAAAATGTATGTCCATGCAAAATATAATAGAGGGGACTGAACCCAGGCCCCTCACACTGGCTACATCCCCAGTTGTTTTGCCACTATTATTGTTGTTGTTTAGTTATTTCTTTTTGTGAGACAGGGTCATCTTAAGTCACGAAGGCATCCAGGCTGGGCTCAAACATGCGATCCTTCTGCCTCAGCTTCCCAGCATGCTAGGACTACAGATATGCATCGCCATGCCCCGCTCTAGCAGCATAACTTACAAAAGCAAAACGCCTAAACAATCTAAGTGCCTACTAATGGGTTAATAGAGAAGAAAAATACACTCTTCATGCAATGGAATGCTATTCAGCCACAAAAAGAAACAAAGTGCTGTAGCTTGCACAGAGCAGGTGGAGGGGAGGATGGAGAGCACCTGCTGGTAAGTTCAGTGGTTGCTTGTTTTGAGGAAGATGTTAAAAAAAGTACAGTGTGATCACGGTTACACAGCACTATGAACTTAGTTAAAAGCAAGCAATTGTCTGTTTGAAATAGGTCAATTATATGGTAGGCAAATTACATCACGACAAAGTTATTACAGATACAGCTTGTGAAATTATTTCAATAGCTGCATCTAGACTTCTATGAATCAACTTTAAAATCTCCCTTGTCTCATTATTAGGAATTAAGGGGCCTGCTAACTAGCTCAGGGATTAAAGTGCCTGCAAACAGGTACAGGGGCTGGGGGTTTGATCCCCAGGCCTGCCAGTAGTAGTGAGACCCTGAACACCCTGTTGACCCTTCCCTAAAAAAAAAAAAAAAAAAAAAGGAATTAATGGCATAGTTAAGAACATATTCCTGGTAGAAAACTGACCATTTGACAGTAATCTTGTTTGTGGGCATAAAGAAACATATTTTGAAACCAATTACTTACAAATATTTTAGTCATGAAAGTTTTCTGTTCCAGTTGAAATAGTTTCTAGAGCTTTTCAAAATCCAATTTAAAAATCACCACTATGGGGCCAGCCAAACAGCTCAGCAGATTAAAGTGCCTGCTTAGGCAGACACAGCGGCCAGGGTTCGATCCCTGGTGTGCAGTGCTAGCCCCACCCCGGGGCACGATGAGCCAGTGATTGAGACTGGGCGTGGTGGTGTACGCCTGTAATCCCAGCTCTTGGGAGGCTGAACACAGGCCGATCACTAGTCTGATCTACATAGTGAGACCCTGTACTAAAATACAAAAATCACTACTATGAATTACAGAATTTCTAATTATTAAATATATGAACTGAATATAGAGGATTTCCCTCTTATGTTCAGCTTTTATATGACAACTTCCTTTTATTCAAAATTCAATTTTTTCTGAAAGAACTGGTTCTTACACTTATATACTACTTTGCTAAATTAACAAGGCTGACTGTTTTCCCCATTTACTAAGCTCCCTTTCAACAGTGAAGTGACCTAGCTAATTAAAGGCAACTTTAAATAGAAGAGCTCCAAATGAAAATTTCTGACTCCTTCTCTGGTAAATTGTCTTTATAGCATCCCCTTCTTTTCCCAGAAAGTCATAAGGAATAAAGAAACACACATGCCCTGTGGCTTGAGTACGGTGCACTACACACAGAGGAGGCCCTGAAACACGTACACACCCGGCAAAGCTGCTCTGTGGAGCCTTGCCGGGGGCACCACAGCCAGGAATAATTCTCTCCTCTACAGTACCATCACCACTGGGATGGAAAACTCTGTTATTCAAGGTGTTACATAAATGTAGGAGCAAGATGACCTCACAGTCAAAGAAAAACACCAGCAGCAACAAGATGCCCTCAAGGGGCTGGTGAGATGGCTCAGTGGTCTAAAGCACCTACTTAGAACAAGCTTAGCAAAGCACAGGGACCGCGGTTCAATCCCCCAGCCCCACATGCCAGCCAGCCCCGCCCCCTGGTGGGCTGAGCTGGACACACACACACACACACATTAAAAAAAAAAAGATGTCCTCAAGATTTACAGGCAAAACAAGTCTGACAGTGATGCCACGACTCTAACCCTTAGCTCTACCCTTCTCAAGGTTTTCCAAGCCACCCCCACCACCTTCTTTTTGGTTTTATTGAAAAGCAGACTCACTATGCAGTTCAGGCTGGCCTTGAACTCACTGTGTAGCCCAGGCTGGTCTAGAACTCATGGCAATCCTCCTGCCTCAGCCTCCCTAGTGCTGAAATTGCAGACATGGCACCTCCAGGGCCGGCTTTCTTGGTCTTTTTTTTTTAAAAAAAAAAAAAAAAACCTTTTCATCTCTAAGTGAATAAAGTACTCTCAAGATCACAAAGAAAACTCTTCACTCTGTTGCTAATCATGTACAAACTACCAACACATGAAATGCATAAAACCTTTAATTTGATTTGTTCCCCATGAATTTATCCAACACAGAGAAAATCTTTGTTAGTCACTTTCTTGTAGAGGCTTTGTATTTAGAGTATAGACAGGACCTAAAAAATAACCCCTGAAAAATAAGGACCCCAATCAACAAATGAGCAAATGAACTGACTAGACACTTACAAGGAACATAAAGGGTCAATATGCATATTCATAAACTGTTCAGCATCTTTACTCTTTAGAGTAATGCAAGTCAAAGCAACGCTGAGATTCCATCGCACCCCACTCAGAATAGCTATCATCAAGAATACTAAAAACAAGGAATGAACTCAGTTGGTGAGAATGTCAACTGGCACGACCACTGCGGAAATCAGTAGGGAGATTCCTTAGAAAACTAAAAGTAGAAATACTACTTGCTTGATCCAGTTACAGCACTTCTTGGTATATTCCAAAAGAATTAAAGACAGCATGCAACAATGCTAGGTGAATAGCCATGGTTATGGTGTGCGATTCAACATATCTAAACTGCGGAAACAACCTCAACACCCATCGATACACAAATGTAGTATGTGTACACAATGGGATGTTATTCAGCCACAAAGAAGATCAAAATCGGGGCTGGTGAGATGGCTCAGTGGTCTAAAGCACCTACTTAGAACAAGCTTAGCAAAGCACAGGGACCGCGGTTCAATCCCCCAGCACCACATGCCAGCCAGCACTGCCACCAAGCGGGCTGAGCTGGCCACACACACACACACAAATAAATAAATAAAATAAAAAATAAAAAATAAAAAATAAAAAGAAGATCAAAATCGCATCACCAACAGGAAATAGATGGAACTGGAAACTACCATATTACATATATGAGTCTAACAAGGCAGTCTCAGAAAGTTAAAGGGCACACATTTTTTATTCTAAATATAAATTCTCTTTTAAAATAAAACAAGAAAGAATGACAAGAAACTAGAAAGCAGACTTTTAAATATGGGAAAGGGAATGTGGGGAGAAGGGAAAGTAGAGTGAGATGAAAAATAATCAAAATATGTTACATAATTGGACAGACATGTGTAAATACCACATTGTTCTGGTGTGAGAAACCAAAAGTGTAAATAAGGTTCAAAATGTTGAATAGATATTGTGAAACAGGAAGAAAACGTAGAGAAGGAGAGAGAGGAAAAGGAAAGGGACAAGAAATCTTACGATTTGTGAGACGAGCAGGAAAAAATGGAATCAAAGCTTTTGTAAATAAGGAAGGTAGGAAGGGTTGAAGGAAAGGTAGGGAATGGGAAAAAAAAAAAGAATCAGGAACAGATACAAATTCCCTATAATGAATGTGATCGATATGTAGACTTAAAATGTACCAATAAACCAATAAAAAAATTCAAAAGAAAAAAATGGTATATGTACCAATATAGCAAAACAATCTCACTAGTCTGTCTTACAAATATGAACTAATAAATAATAAAAGTTTCCCACAGCCACAACACCTGCTGAGACGTAAGAAGCTCTTTTTAGGATGTCCATGGTAACAGAGAATCAGCAACAACCTAAAGGCCCATTGACAGGAGTCTAGTTTAATAGGTGAATCACAGACCCACACTGTGGAATACTGTGTAGTCCTTTGAAAGAACGAAACAATTCCATATTTAATAATATGAAACACTCTCAGACAACATTTTATCTAAAAGGTTTCTTGCAGTACACAACATAGTGCTAAGCTATTTATTACAAAAAAAGAGGCATTCTGATACACATATAAGGTTGAGGATGTAGCTTAGTGCTTCAGCATTTGCTTAGCATGCATGAGGTCTTGGGTTAAATGGTCAGTACCATGAGAAAAAAGAAAAAAAAAAACATTTCAACTTGTATATTTTCATAGAAGACACATAAATTAATAGACACATATGATTTGTACATAATCTATCCCTGGATGGCTACAATGATTGAAAGCAATGGCTGACTCTGTATAAGGAGCCTGGGGGGAAAAGGGAAGACTTAATTTTTACTCTTCATCACTTAGTATTATTGTGATTTTTACTATATGATTGCATTTCTTAGAAAGTGGGAAAAAAAGAAAAAACAACTTCCACAGCCCATAAGATTGGATATGGTTTGGCCAGGCATGGAGGCATATGCCTATGATCTCAGCTCCTTGGAAGACAGAGACAAGAGGATCACAAGTTCAAGCCTAGCGTGGGCAACTTAGTGAGGGTCCATCTCAGAATAAAAATTTGGCAGGGCTGGGGATATAGAGCTTAGTGCTCCCTGGGTGCAATCTGTAGTACAGTGTTGCCAGGAAGAAAGGAATGGGCACAGTTTGAATGAGCCTTCCCCAAATTCATATGACAATGACACTGAGAGGAGCCCTCTGGGAAGTCCTTAGGATTAGATAAACCATGAGGGTAGAGAACTCACAATGGCATTTAAAAGAGGACAAAGGGAGACCCAATATAACATGCTTGTTCTGTCTGGCCATGTGGTACCCTCCTCTATGTTATGGTGCAGCAAGAAGGTGTCTACCAGCTGCAGTACCATGTTCTTACTTTTCCAACCTTCAGAACTGTGAGTCAAATATATTACTAAGCTTGCTAGTCTCAGATATTTTGTTACAGCAACGGAAAACAAACTAAGACAAAACATACCTTCTGGAGTTGAAGACTCTTTTCTGCGGCTGGATGGTGGTGCGAGGAGGCTCATGGCACTGGGCTGGTGCTCAGGCGACCGCACAATGGCAGACATGGCAATTTGCTGCCTCGCAGTGGCCGGCGTAGACGGGTGAGGATGGTCTGTGGCTTTGCGGTGCGCAGCTGTAGAGAGAGCGGATGATGCCTTCTGGTTAGCTGAGTTACCCAGGGCCAGATTAAGCAGACTGCCCCTGGGCTGTCTTTCAAGGACCCAAGACCAAAAGAACACATATTGTGCCAACTTGGCAAGACCAGGGAAGCTGTAAATGTTTTAGACTTGGTATGACCGTACTGAAAACTTCATGGGCCATAAACAAAGATGGTAAACTACTCTTGGCCAACCTCATGGAGATCAGCCCTCTGCCTCTGTCTTATCCACAACCTGGAGCAGTTGGTTGACAGAGAGAGAGTCCCTACCTTCCTCTCGGGCGGAGCGGAGCTCAATGCGAGTCTTCTGAAGAGCTTCCTCAAGCTCTGCACAGCGAGCTTTCTCCTTCTCCAGGGCCAGCTTCAGCTCATTGTACTGCAGAGGAACCTGTGTGGGCAAAGCAGGGTCCTCTTTCCGTCGACTAAATAAACCCTAGCAATGGAAACAGAGATATCTCCTAACTCCTGGAGACTGGCACTGCACACTAACTAAAGGAAAGCTGACTTGGGACAAGCAATCCACCAAGGCCAGGCGCATACTCACTGTAAGTGTGTTTAGTAAAAATGGCATGTGAAGGGGGAAGGGAGGGCTGAGCCTCAGCCCATTCCAGCCAGCTGAAAAAAAAAAAAGTGGGATGTGGGAGTTTTCACCACGAGGATTAAAGATGCTTGATTTGCTGCCACCTCTTCCTTTAGTATTCCCATGACAGAAAATTCATTTCCTGAGAGCCTTTCTCCCTCAAGAAATGGAGTCAGGAGAGATGGAGAGATGGAGCATAGAGCCAGGAGCGAGGTCAGAGGTCACTCCTGCCTTTGAACTTGCCTCATGGTGCTTAGTTACAAGACACAGAGAGGGGTGTTTTTAAAAGAAAATGATACCAAAACAAGGGGCTTACTTTAAAAAAAAAAAAAAAAGCAAATGAAAATATTTATTGTACATGGAAGACAAAAAGGAAAACAAATAATGCAACTGAAACAAAATTAATCTAGAAAAATAAATGGAAACACCCTAACTACATCAAATGACACAACCAGACAACAGTTTGCTGTTAAAATAAAAAAGATTAAATATCATAAGCATAGCAAACATACACAATCACATAGTATGCAACAAAGCCCTTCAGCAAAGCTACCACTTGATAAGAGATAGGCAGCCTCTGAATACTGTACTCAAGATGGGCAGGGACACAGGGACCAACCATTGACTTTAGTCCTCCTGTCCTTTCTCCTAGGTATTTCAAGTCATCAAGTCATTTCCTATGAAACCAATGTCACAGCCACCATGGACTTTGGAAGGAAGTGCACCTTCCTTAGATACTTTTATGGAACTGAGAAAAATTAGCCAATCTCAATCAAGGACTTCACTGGTTTGGGAAAGCATAAGCTGAAATTATGAAAAACAACCTTTCCATGTGCACCTACACATAACCCTGTCCATGGTTTGAGTTTTTTTTCAGTAGTATATAATTTATATGTTAAAATTTTAAAGGGATGGCATAACACTAATGGGAGGGGTAGCTATCCAGCCAGTCACTTGGGCAGGTCACTTCAACTCCCTGGGTTCAGTCTCTTAGGTAGTACTTAAACAATCAAGAGCACTAGACCTGATCATTTATAAATCCTTCCTATAATCCCATACAGGTGACTTTCAAGCTGGGTTAACCTCCCAGAAGTGTGAACTACTAAGCCTTCTAAAACACCATACACGAGACCTGCTAATCCCTCTAGAGTCCCCCACAATGACATTCAAATCTGTTTGGAGTCCTCTGTAGATGATCTATGTATAAACTATTCTCTCTGCAGACCCTTTTCCATCTTCTATGGGGTGTGTGTGTGTGTGTGTGTGTGTGTGTGTGTGTGTGTGTATGATCATTTCCTTACAGAAAAGAAGTATTGATTTTAATAGCTATGTAAAGTACTGTTAGACTTGACCAATGATATCCTCTGATAAAGGTTATTTCCAAAGCTATTTTTTCAACTCAGAATATAACAAGAAAATGTACATCTTGTTCTTTTCAGCCAGCTCAGCCTCCCCTGGGGGCGGGGCTGACGCAGCATGTGGTGCTGGAGATTGAACCGTGGTCCCTGCGCTTGCCTAAGCTTGCCTAAGCAGGCGCATTAGACTGCTGACCTATCCCCCTGTCTTTTGCTTCTATGCTCCTACGACTTCCTATCACAGTGGTGCCCACTGAGTCATGAGCAATGGAGTGAAGCTGCCAACTTCCACGTGTCAAACTCTTTGACTCACCTTTTTCTTTTTAGCAGGTTGGTCCATTTTGGCTTGCAGAAAATCAATAAGTTTGGTTTGTTGAGAAATAGTACCTTCCATTTTCACCTTTTCATGAGAATAGAGAACCTAAAATTCACAAAACAAAAATAACCCCAGAGCCAGACAGAGAGGTGTACTTTTAAACTTGGTACTTTAAAAAAATAAAAAATAAAACTGTTAGGACACTGGCATAGGAAAATTCAAAACAAACAGTGCTGAGAGAAAACTTATTTAGTCCCAATTTTATCATAAGGGAACAAATAAAATGAATAGATATATGAGAAAGTAAAAATAATAATTATAGGATCCAGGTAGTGGTCACTATGGAAATCTTCCAACTCCTCTGAAAGCTTGAAAATTTTTATGATTAAAATATCGGAGAAATATATACAATATTTAACATAAAGATACTGACCAACTTATCACAGGCTTTTCAACATCTAGCTTTGCCTCAATAGACTCCCAAACATACACATACACATGTACACACACACACACACACATACACAAGCGTGTGCACGAATGTGGGAATGGAACCCCAGGCTTCACAGATGCTAAGCGCATCCTCTACCACTGAGCTCCATCCCAGCCCTGCAGACAACTTTCAAGCAGATTCCCTTTGCCAGTCCCTACCTGAATATTTTCCAGCTGATACTCCAGATCACTTCTTTCTGTCTTCAACAGATCAGCCCGATCAAGAGCTTCTTGAAGCCCTTGAGTAAGACGGAATATGTGGCTCTTCTGTAGGTCCATCTGCTGCTGTAACTTGGCTTGCTAGTGGGGAGAAAACCCAGAGAAAGGCTTGACACCATACAGAACACAGCTTGATCCCCACTGCACCTATCCACCATGAGGTTCAGGCTCACAATAAAAGTTCAGCTTTTGAAACCATCTCTTTCCAGAAATACCACTTGTCTTTATTCTAAAATGATATGGTCATGCTTAAAAAGAATTGGCAAGAAAATCTTGGATGGATACCAATCATAGGCTCCTCACTATTAACAGGAAGTCCATGCCCAGCATCTGCCTTCTATCTGAGGATGCTTTGATACTTAAACCTTCTGACTTGACTACAAATGCAGTGCAATCCAGTCCCTGTGTTCCTATCTTTTGGTTTTAGGATCTCAATGGCTGTTAAGAAAAATCATTGTAAAGGCAGTATGAAATACACAAAGAAGAATTATATCACCCCTAACTCCACAGTTTCCACAATTCATACATGAGTAGCCATAATTTTAGTGTGAGAAGAAAGGAAGGGGGAAGAACCCAGCTATACTACAGCAGTTGATAAAATGCAGAAACATTTCAATTTAGTATACTGGAAATAGTTTTGTGGTGAAAATCTCTCTCCAATTTTTATATTGGAAGTCAACCAGAAAATAGGACAGGTTATTGAGATTCTTGTTTTATGGCTCCCCTTCCTAAAAAGTATCTGTTTCTTTCCTAAAATGTGTTTCACTGTGATAGAATGCTGCCTGATTTCATCCAAACCTCAGGTTATCGTCTGGCTGTGGCCCAAATAATCTCATCACTAGTAGTCTACACACTGCACACTGAGGGGCAGAGTGCTATAGAAGAGCAATAAACCTCATCATGGGGGCTCTCAAATGGTCCACAGCAGACCTCAAAGCCCTCCAGCCCCGCAAGCCGAGAGGAACTTTAACATCAGAATTTGCTAGTCTTCTCCCTCTTACTTACTTCTCTCTGCCTATGTTCTCCTTTTCTCTTCTACTCATCACTGTCCTTCCATTTGAGAGGTAGCTGATTCTCTGAAGCACTGTGCTGTAGTCAAAAGATTCTGGACTGTGTAATTTTATTTTAAATCCTGACTTTGACACTTAAAAGCAACATGACCACTGGCAGGTCATATTGCCTCTTGGAGTCTCAGTTTCTTCCTTTAAGAGTAGATATAATGTTTTGCCTCCTGCAATGACATATACAGCACAGTACCCAGGAAATGGATGGTTCATGAACATTGGTATCCTTCCTCTCCTTTGTCCTTCTTTCTGTCCTCCATCCAATTCAGCTGCCCACCCCAGTTTCTCATCTGCCTTTTCCCTATTGATCCTGCCATAAGCATGAAATACTAATGATCAGCTAGCATGTACATAACTGGAAATTTCTCAATCAAATCACAGAACTCCCTAAGACAAAAAAGGAGAGAGGGAGGGAGGGAGGAAGGGAATGAAAGAAACAGCTAAAACATGCTCTGAAAGGAAGCCACCAGTCCCCCGCAAACCAAGTGATTTCTTTTGCAAATCCCCCTCTTTAGTTTCTTTCCACTATTTTAGGACAACATTAATTACTAGGCAGGAACCAGAGAAACAAGTGCTGTGGACAAGGATCTTTTTGGTGACAGCCAAGCCCAAAATATTTTTCTAGAATAAGCACATCAACTATCCGGGGGTTTTCTAAGAAATAGGTTGGTTATTTACCATAATAAAAACTCAGTACAAGTAAGAGTGACATTTACACTCCGTGAAATGTTTTTCAAAAACTATCTGCTGCAGAGAGAGGCAAATGGAGAAATAATCATGGGTCAGTGTTAGACTGAAATGCAGGCCTGAGCTATACTTAGACCTGTCCAACAATTTCACAAGGGTGACAGGAAGCTGGGAAGATGAATGAAGGAGCTGGATGACAGAACCAGAAATACAAAACAACCCCAGGGGGCAGGAAGGATGGGTCAAAACCAAACAGAAAAGGTCAATAGGATGGTATTATTTTTAAATAGGATGGTATTTTTTAAGACTTAAGGTGAATAAATGCAGGACATAGAAATGTTTTTAAATTAAAAAGTGTAAGTGTGTGTGTGTGTGTGTGTGTGTGTGTGTGTAGGGGGGAACTTGTGGAAGGAGAAGTACAATTTTATATGTTCGTGGAAGTCAGTGGTATGCCTTAACTACCTACACAGCTCCAGGTAATTGGCAGAGGTTTATAGAGCCCAGGATGTAGGTAAAAATCATTTCCTGTAATCTCACCACTTAGGGGAGGTTGAGGCAGGATGATCACTGAGAGTTTGAGACCAGCATGGGCTACACAGTGAGTCCAGACCAGTTTGAACTGCATAGCAAAACCCTTGTCTCAAAAAACAAAAGTCACACCAGCAACATGACAGACCACCTGGATTCCTAGGAAAGGCAAATTTACCAAAAAAGAACCCAAATCTTTGAGAGATCTGAAATGTTTCAATAAGAAAAAGAAGGCAATTTGGAGTGGCAGAGACAGTTTGATATCTAACTGATCTAACTGTCATAGAAATAATGTAAGTAGCTATAGGATTTACACGGAAAATGAGTTAATTCATCTAAAGTAGTCAGAAAGGCATCTGACACATAGTAAGCAGTAATTAAACATTAGTTATTTTTATTATTAAGTAATTTAACAAAAAAATAGTATTAGTCTGTGTGTGTGTGGTTTTGTTTTTGTTTTTGTTTTTGTTTTTGTTTGCCAGCTTAGGATGTCTTAAGGGCAGGTCTGGTAAGGCAGGAGGACCTGGGGATCGAACCACAATATCCTCGCCTGACTGCTTTGCTTAAGCAGGCACTTAAACAATTGAGCTAATGGGCAGGCCCCCAAGTCTGTGATTTTGATTGGAGATATCAGTCTACTCTTTCTTTTGAAGGACTTAACAGCATTTGTTTTAATTTTTTTTTTCATTTTTATCATTGTTCATATTACTCCATGTTTATAGTATCTAATGTTTACATTCCTTGTGGTGGACCAGTGCATGTACACAATACATCTTAATCTCTTCTTTTATTCTCTTCTTTCCCTTCCCCACCATCCATCTCCAATCCCCTTCCTTTTTTTATACATATCTGCAGTACATAATGTTTACATTCCTTGTGGAGAGCCGGTATGCGTACATAACACAACCTAATTCCTTCTTTCATCTTCTCTCTTTTCCCTCCTTCCCTTTCCCTCTATCTCTTGATCCCTGTCCTACCTGACAAAGATCTATCTCCCTAATTCCTATCATCTAACATTTATTTTCCTCTTTATGGATTTCTCATTATCAGATTACTCTTTAATTTCCTGTTGTCTTCCCTGGCAAGCGCAAGGGTCTAAGTTCAATCCCCGGTTCTGCAAAAATAAATAAATAAATAAAAAATAAAATTTCATGTTGTAACGCAACAGAACCAATGAGTGAAAGTTGTAGGATTTGGTTCAAAATAATAAACAGAGTTCCTAAGAATCACAGTTGATGAAAAATGGGTTGGGATATCAAAAGTTACTGTAATAGTTGGCCAATGTTCAATGAGGTCCATCTAAGGGAAGAGTTGGGGTAGAGATTTTCTACCTTGAGTTAGGAGATAAATTTAACACAGATTACAAGATAGAATTTCATCTCCGGCATTCCAATATAGAGGTGGTTGTAAACTATTATGTCAAGAAAACTCCCAAGGCTATTTCAAGCATAAGAAGAAGTTGGAAGAAAAATCTATTAGTAAAGTTTGTCAGGGACATGAATAAGAGCAGTAATCATGGGAATATTGACTAGATAGACATAAAATTTGTCTACTTATGTCCTACTTGAAAGTTTCTGTACTTATGAAGAGGATGCTTAGATTGAAGTCTTGACTCATGCTTAAAAAAGCACACACCAAAACCAAGGATCTCAACTGTATTTTGAACAATAAAGGTCATTCTGTATGTGTGAGACCGATTCAATCCTCAGCACAACTGAAAATAAATGAATAAAAATGGTTCCAACTACCTGTGAAATCTGATTCAAATCCAGTATCAGCCAGATGTCTGTGCTCAAACATCTATCAGGGAGATGAAGACTGGGAAACTGGAAATGTTCTCATGTAGGTTAGAAGTGAGAATGAGGGGACTGAGTCAGGCTCCCAGCAGTCTATTCCTAGCACCATCACTGACTCACCATGTAACCTTGGACCAAAGTACTGAGCTGTCAGGGCCAACTCACCCTCCTCAGAAGAAAAAGAGGACAGGCAACAGCATCAGTTATTTCTCTTTGGTTTCCAGCATGTGGCTGAGATGAGAACATTACCTATTCATGCCAAACCAAAACAGTAACACTCTACTTGACCAAAAGTATATTTAAAAGTTCACTAACAGATTGGGCATCCCTAATCCCAAACTGCAAAATCTGAAATGCTCCAAAACTCAGAACTTTTTGAGTGCGAACCCAATGCCACCCTGAAGAATCTGATCTCATGTGATGGGTCACAGTCAAAACACAGGCATATTTAAAAAAATTGTATAGCATTACTTTCCATCTATGTGTATAAGAGCTACATAAAGCATAAATAAATTTTGTGCTTAGACTTTGGGTTCCATTCTAAGAATTGAAAAAAAAAAAAAAAAAAAAAAAAATATATATATATATATATATATATATATATATATATTTCAAAATCCTCATTCAAGCATTTTAAATTAAGAATATTTAACCTGTATTGTGTTTATAAGGCCGCTTGGTGAATTTCATTCATATACATGTACACATAAATTAATTTTATTTTTATATTTGTTGCTATCAAAATATACCATTTTTAAGGGCTAAGGATCAAACCAGACCTTCCTACATGCTAGGTCATTTTTATCATTTTTAAGTATTCAGTAGTATTAAAAAGTCATATAATTCTTCAACCATCACCATTATCCATCTTGAACTTTCCCAAACTCCTACCTATATTTTATAAAGTATTCCATAAGACACTTCATACTCACCTGCAACATTTTCACTATACTTTTCAAACTTGATGCACAGTAATATTGTTTCTACCAGCAGAGCTCCTGAGGAGCTATGAGTATTATATGACAACAGAGAATTCTGATTAATTAAACTGCCAGGCTCATTATAGATTAAACAGAACATTCTTTGGAGTTCCAAGTTTTCATTAGACATCTTTATAAAAGCGCATTTGCCCTTGTAGGTCAGTTCTACTGAACAAAGCAGAATCATTAGTGATTCAATGTATAGAGTTGGTTGGGAGTGGGAAGTAGTCATCAATTTAAATAGCAATTTTTCACAGTTCTCGGAAAAGGCACATGAAATAACATAAAGGGTTTAGGAGATCAATTTGAGCTTGTCATCTTATATCTCAAAAGCATAACATGATTTTTTTAATTGAATTAAGTACATGTTCAAAAGTGCTCATGGAATTTGGCACTCAGCATAATCTGATCAAATCTGTGCCCTGTGTAGGAAGCTAATTTGCATGGCTGTTCCTTCAGCATGAAACTTAATATATTTTGAATATTAACTCAAAAGAACAATTTAACTTAATATTCGTTCACCCATATATTTAATAAACTTCTGTTCAGCACATACTTACTACATGTTTAATACTTTACTAAACAGCATGTAGGAGGATGCAAATGACAAAAACCCTCTGGCCTTCAAAACATGGTATTTTAATCTGTTAAGTATCTTATAGAAAATATTATGTGGCCACTGCACTCTGCCTCAAAAACTCATCTCAAAATCTGAGTGTCTAACTTGGATCTAACCATCTGAATGTAACAAATTTTAACTGTCAGAAATCCCACCTGGCTCCAGCTCCAGGGTGGTCTCCACTCACCTCTTCCAGAAGCCTTTGTTTGAGCTCTCGCTCAGTCTCCAGTTTCTGCTGTAGGCTCCGGGCATTCATTTCAAGCATGGCATGCTTCTTTTCCAGATCATTGAGCTGGACATTCAGAAATATTGGCAATGATAACACAAATGGAAATGTTAGATGCTAACAACTTCTATAAACATCCACCAACCTTCACATATAAAAGCCGATCAAGTTCTAAAGGTTAGAACATAAAGATTGTTTTGAAAAATCTAAAGTCCATGTACTAGTTAAGTCTGCTTCATGAGGACAGAAATATTCATATTCTCTCTCTCTCTCTCTCTCTCTCTCTCTCTCTCTCTCTCTCTCTCTCTCTGCACTGGGGATCAAACACAATGCCTTGTGAATGCAAGGCAAGAACTCTACTCTGAGCTACTTCCCAAGCCACAGATATAGAGTAGCTGATACCTAGACACTCGTGCATATATACAATGACTGCTTTGTCAGAGGAAAAGTCTGATAAGTATATACAAGAGAAACTCATACCAAATAAAGGCAAGAAAACATGGTACTAGAATGATTAGAGCTTTAAAGGACAGATAGGAACTGACTATTGAATACTTCAACAATAGACATCACGAAAAACATACTTCTAGTTAAACAGAAAAGTGTTCACTTATCTCTAAATTATATTTATTTTCCTCATACTTTAAAAAATTAGTGTCAGGTGTAGTGCTGTACATACATCTATAATACCAGCTACTCATGAGACTGAGGCAGGAAGATCCCACATTCAAGGCCAGCATAGGCAACTTAGAGAACATGTCTCAAAATAAAATTTAAAAAGGGATGGAGATGTTGCTTAGTAGTAGAGCACATGCCCAGTACAGCATGCACAAAGCCCTGGGTTCAATCCCCAGCAGTGTAAAAATGAAAAGTGGTAAGCCAGCTTCAGTGAGCCCAGGAGTATTCCTGAGCAAAAAGTTTTACCCTTGAATCCAATAACCCTGTTTCCATAAATTTCCAGCAAGAAAATAACCATGGATGGCCACAAAGATTTATATTCACCACAGTGTTACTTATATTGCAAAAGAAAAATTGAAACAAGTCCAAATTTCCAATACAAGGAGAATGCTTAAATTAGTTGCCTGCTTACAGTTAGACTTTTTCAGAATTACATCTTTAAAAAAAATATTCATTAACTAACGAAAAGCCTTCAGGGATACTTTTTTTAAATGTAAAGCTATATATGTAGTAGGAATCTAAATTTATAAAAAATGTATGTGTACATAAATATAAGCAAAGAAGAGGCTGTAAATAAACACACCAATATAACAACACAATAGTTGCCAGTCATTTTTTTATATTTTTATGATTTCTATTATCTACAATGATCCTAAGTAATTGCTTTTATAAACATAAAATACACAATTTAGATTGCTATGTTATATGTGTATATGCAAAAAAGACTGTATAGTTGAGTCTATGTGCATACATATAAAATGTCTCTAATCTTCATATCTATTATCTATAACAGTGAAACACCTTTCAAGACGATTAGATAAAATCTCTAAAACATTAGTACATCACTCTCTAAACAGGATATGGTGATGGGACAGAACACATATACTTCCAGTGTGAAATACTAAATTACTCATCTGTATCATTAGACTTTGCTATGATTTGAATGTGTTCCCTGTAAGTTCCTGTGTTGAAAACTTCATCACAAAATTCTTACGTTGATGGTAGCTAGTGGTGAGGCCTTTGGGATGCAGTCAGGATTAAACGAGGTCATAAAGATGGAACCCACGATGGCACTAGTGGCTTGGTAAGGAGGAGACACTTGAGCTAGCACACTTGCTCTCACTGTGTGATGTCCTCCACTATGCCATGACACAGAAAGAAGTCCTCACAAAATGCCAGCGCTATGCTCTTGGACTTCCCAGTCCCTAGAACCATGAACTAACTGAATTTCTATAAATTATCTGCTCTTGGGTATTTTATTATAGACATAAAAACCAAAAATAGATCCTATCATGTCTCTGAATTTGGAATAAACAGAAACTGAGCCACATAGAATTGCAACAATAAGGGCCAGTGAGATAGATCAGCAGACTAAGCGCCTGCCTAGGCAAGTGCAAGGACTAGGGTTCAATCCCCGGCACCACATGCTGCACTGGCCCCACCCCCAGGTGCCTGTGCTGGCCACCAAGACTGAGTGTGGTGGTGAATATCTGTAATCCCAGTGCTAGGGAAACTGAAAACAGGAGGATCACTACAAGTCCAAGCTGCATATTGAGACCCTATACCAACTACATTAAAAAAAAAAAAAGAGAGAGAGAAGGAGTGTAACAGTAGGCTGAGCCTCAATCACTGCTACTATGACTTCCTCAAAGTTGGACAACACTGGTCCATGCAGCCTTCTAGAAATCAGATACCAGAAATCAAGCATTATACATCAAAAATCAAAATCTGACTTGTAGGGTCCAGCTATTCAGATGCTAAATAGTCACCGAATAACCATGATAACCCAGTGCCCACAGGCACCTATGTTTTTGCCAACCAAGGATATCCCACAGTGAATCATAACTGGCACTTTTAGAGTGAGCAAATGTATGTTTATGAAATGTGTTCACCATAGATTGCATTAGAATTTGTCTCAGGCAGGCATTTAAAAGAAGGAAATGAAAATGTTTTCCCAAAAGGCAGACAGGTGCTGACCTTGTCAGAGAGGCTCTCAGCTTTCAGCTTCTGTTCTTTGAGAGCCTGCTGCAGAGCGAGAATCTCAGCCTTGTGTTCCTTCACTGCCAACTCCACCACCTGGCGAGACTCAGTGATCCGCTGATCAGCACGTGCCCTGCCAGAAAAGATCATCCCTGATTTCAGAAATACTACCACCGACTGGAGAAAGAAGGCTTGCCCAGCTCTATTCCTGAGGACCAACTAACCCCTGAGTCCTACCCTCCAAATTAGGTCTTCGTTGCTGACAGCTTACAGAGCAAAGATTTGACACACTTCAGGCTGTAAGTAAAATTGTCCTTAAGAGCCTCCTAGTACTGACATTGAGAGAGAAGGAAAAAGGTACTTCAAGAAGCAACTGGACTGCATACAAATGTGTCAAGATTATCACGCCCTCCTCATAGGGGTAGACATGGGAAGAAGCCCACTGAAGAACCCCAACATGCAGAGGACTATGGGAGACCCCATTAGAGCATTTTCTCTTTTTATATCATATTCAAGAGTTTAAATGTTTTGGGTGCTGACTAGAAAACTAAAACTTAAATCTGATGAAAGTGTTGAGAAATGACATTAAAGAATAAGAAAAGTGGGGAGGGGATGGCTCCGTAGAATAAGTGCTTGCCTGGCAAGCGTAAGGGCCTGAGTTCAATCCCCGGTTCCACAAAAAAAACCCAAAAAACTCAGAAGCAAACTTGGAAAATAACCTCTTTTCCCCTATGTCAGCCCCAATTTTTCCTACTTGCACACTTTGGTTTGTACATTCTCCTCCACAGGCAATATTCTTTCTTACTCTACTAAGTCACTTCCTACTCAGCCTTCTAGGATGCATTCAAATGCTATATCCTTCCTAAACCCTTTCCCAATTTCTCTTGTTATGCATCCAAAGCATAAATATGGGACCTTAGCAAATTTCCCCTGGAGCACACAGCATTCTCTATTTTAGGTGGTAAATACTGGAATGCCCAGTTTTTCTTCTCCACTAGCCTCAGTCTCTGAGGACAAAGATTAAGAGTTCTATTTTACTTATTTCAGTACTCTGCGTTATTCAAGAAAGAAAGATCTTTCACAACTGCCCTGAAAGTAGACATGAAAAAAAAAGTAGGTTAATGTTTATCTTCCTAAGCACAGTCCATAATTATACCTTCCATGTGTATCTGAGTATTTCTTGATTGTGAAGTCAGACCTGCCCCCTAAAAATTATCTCTAAAGGAGTGGGAAGGAAGGGGTTTGTGAGAAGAGTGGCCAGAACTTCCAGTGGATCAAGGGGAGCCCAAGGATTTGAAGAAAAACAAAACCAAGATTTTAAAACAGCAGCTCTTCCTTGCTGTTTTAAAATCAGCAAACACCCTGGCTGGGAGGACAAGAAAGAAAGAGAGAGAGAAAAAGAAAAGAAAGAAGGAGAGAAAGAGAGAAAGAAAGGAAGAAAGAAAGGAAAGAAAGAAAGAAATGAAGGAAGAAAGCAAACCAAACATCAGTACCAGTTTCTCTTGAAATTTAAGGATTCTCATCTTTTCCTCTAATCTTTTGTAGAACTTAGCATAAATTATTTATCCAACACACGTGGTTGAATCCACTATGATCAGGCAAATGTGCAAAATATCAAATGGTGTGATACAGTCTAATTAAGTGATAAATATGTCTATGTTTAGCTTGCTTAGGGAATTCTGAGAACTACAGAAAGGTGATTCATAGGAAGGTGACCTTAGCAAGGTTGGGAAGGATGATATAATTCAGTTGGGCAGACATAAAGCCAGGGGGCTAATGCTGGCCCATATGGCACCTTTGTGCAGACTGAAAAGAGGTTCCTATTCTTCAAGACCATTTATTGCCACCTGTAAACTGTCATAACATACTAATTTTGTTCAAACAAAACACTTTCCTGCCATGAGCTACAAAATTGTCATAATAACTCTTCAAATTGATGGCATCTTCAGTGTGAATGGCACTCCCTGAACTATTATAACCCCAGCAGGAAGGGAACTATGCTGGGGGAACTGTGGAAACAAAAGCAGGAAAGCTGCCTAAATTCTTCATTAGCATTTTCTACCAAGAAAAAAATGAAAACACCTCACTAGAGAGCACTGGTACTTAGCTGAGGGCAGCTTTCCCCCTCTCTCAGAAGATACTTACTAGATACTATCTAGGGTCATTTTGGGCTGTCATAACTTAGGAAGGAGGTTACCACTGTCATCTACAAGGTAGAAACCAGGGAAAATGTTCAATATCCTACAATGCAGAGGACAGACCTCTACAATAAAGAATTATCCAGTCCAAAGTGTCAGCAGAGCCAAGGTTCAGGAGCTCCAGTGTAGCAGGAAGACCAGCAAGTACACATGACCATGTCTGGCTACACAGTCACATGGTCATGCTGATAAGAAATCTGACCAAAGTGTTTCTGCAAGGAAGGCACCGACCTATTTGCCTTACCTGCAGGCCTCTGCACTGGACAAAGGGCCACCAAACACTGCTACAGAACCCAACTGACAATAATGGGAGTTATAACCAGGATGACCACCCAGCATGGTTTGTCTAAGAGCATCCTGGACTTAACCCTGAACATATTGCATGCCAGGAAACTTCTTGATCCCAGACAAGCTAGGAAAGTTGGTCACCATGGTTACAATGCTCAGGTGGACCCCGCTGCAGTTCTGTGTCACCAGCCTTCTGCAAAAAAGAAGTCCTACCTGCTCTGTTTCTCAGTGTCCAGCATCCTCTGTAACTCTCGAACCCGACACTCAAACTGGGACTTCTCATCACCAAGCACACTCCTCCAGGCCTCCCACTGGCGCTCTTTCTCTAGTAGTTCATCATTCAGCGCCTCCAGATCCATGACTTGTTCTTCTAGCATCGTGCATGTGGTCTTCAGAGCCTCCATCGTCTGCAAATCAGTACCACTGAGTTGTGCCTTGTATCAAACGAGGATTTCCTGAAGGTTACTTTTATCAGTTCAGTTTCAGAAAAGCACGAGTTCTTAACTGCATTCTTTTTTTTTTTTTTTTTTAAATTTATTTATTTATTTATGTATTTGTGTGTGTGTGGCCAGCTCAGCCCACCAGGGGGCGGGGTTGGCTGGCATGTGGTGCTGGGGGATTGAACTGCGGTCCCTGTGCTTTGCTAAGCTTGTTCTAAGTAGGTACTTTAGACCACTGAGCCATCTCACCAGCCCCTTAACTGCATTCTTAAATACAGTACATCTTTGGCTTCTACACCCTGAGGGGACCGGGCAAGAATGGGTGAATGACCACCGTACTGCCATCTTAGAAGCAGAACTCAAAGCCAGCCCGGGGTTGGGATCGCCAAAGGGAACAAGCTTAGAATCAAGTGGACCACAATGGCTTCCTAGATCTATCCATTTTATTTTTAAGTTTTTTAAAATCAAAATTAAGAATGACATCACACTTTTAAAAGTCATTTGTGAAACCACAAACCTCAAGTAACAAGATGTGATTGAACAGGAGATGATGCACTAGATGAGGTGACCAGCCCCTTCCCAAGCCCTTCAAGAGTCTTCCAGGGCTATCAGAGTTTTGTTCACCCTCCTTACTTGCTTCTGGCTGGTAAGCTGCATCTCCCTCTCGGTGATCTCACGCCGGAGATGGTCTACTTCACTTCGCAGCTGAACTATCTCATCGTTGGCGCCCGAAGCCTCATCGAGTTGTTTGGACAAGTAGAAGTTTTGGTTGTTGAGTTCAGCGTTGTCTTCGGTGAGCTGGTTTAGCTGCTCCTCCAGGTCTGTGATGACCTGCAAGGGGCAAGGAACCCAGCTGCACACCAAGCAAGTTCACTGCAAGTGAGGACCTGCTTCTAGAGCCACTGCTATTTAATCTGTGTGAAACTGAAATCCAATGTGCAGCTATCTAAATACAGGGCCAAATCTAACTCCAAAACCCTTCACTTGGTTCTAACACATGTATAAGGGGAGAAAAAGAGGTCTCCGTTTCTAACTCAGGGTACAAGGGGCTGGGGAGATAGCTCAGTGGCATAATCGCCTGCCTGGCAAGGGCAAGGTCCTGAGTCCCAAGTTCAATCCCGGTACCAAACAAGTAAGTAAATAAATAAATAACTCAGGGTACATTTGGAAAATATGGTAAAAACAAATCAATCAAAAGTGACTGCTAAACAAATGAGACACATTCAAATGAGATCAAGTTCATATCAAAGAGACAATAAAATAAAAGGGAATAGAATACAAACTGCAAGTTAAGGAAAGAGAAATAGCAGGCTAGTATCACGATCATCTAATTAAGCTAAACATGACCTTGACAGCACCAATATGAAGTTATTGTTAGAGACAGACATAGTCCTAGGAAGTAAAATTCAGTTCTTACAAAGGAAGACTGACAGAGAAAGATACCAAGAATTATTTTAATAATATCACAGGCAATGAATTTAATTTCATGTAACAAAGAAAAATCTTAAGGGAAGCTCAGAATAATCCTGAAAATATATTAAGGCATCGTTTTAATGGATTTTACTATACAGTTAGCTCTTCGCGTATATGAAATTGTCATTTTACTAGAAAAGATTTAATCTGATTTTACTAAATTATTTCCCTGCTCTGTGGCAGAATTGACTTCAATTTCAGTGCATTTAGCTTTTCTATTCTCTTTGCTGAGGTTTAGTATTGGCACTTGCTGAGAGTCTTTATATAAAATACTTTAGAAGTTTAAGGGCAATTTTCTAATAATAGTTGGAGTGAGGCAAACAGACTATAAATTAAATTTTATGCAACAAAAAGAAGTAAATTAAAAGCAAATGCCTTTAAGCTCACACCTATTGTTTCCAATTTCTAGGCCTAGAATAGACTTAGTTTATGAAATGTTAACGTTGTTTCCATGACTAATTCTCTATTTTAACTCCTTTTGATTATCAATTAAAAAGAAAAAATCTTCCCAGGCACACAGAATTAAAGAACATCAATTAAAGTACATTTGTTCAATGTGGCTTAGCAAATACAGCTCTTCATTGTGTTAACTGAGCTGATAACCTTTTAATGTAATAAGTGGTCTAATAAAATAATTTGCTTTTGAATGTCAAAAACCATGTTAATTCCTAATGTATTGATTCGAGGAACTCTGTCGGCTACCAGAGGGGAATAAAAGTGATCTGGTCAGGTTCTTAGGAAAGAATGTTACTTCATCAAAGGAAAACTATAGGTGGAAAAACCTGTACTTTTGTCCTACCTAGCAGTTATATCTTTCTGTGACATGGCTACATCTCCTAAAGTCAGGAACAATGAACGCTGTCTATCTGTTCAAATGACCTCAGTCTTCATTCTGGGTGTAAATTCATTCCTTAAGATATTTTTCTTTACTTTTCTTCCTAGACTATAAAAGTTTAACTACTATGCTTTATTCTATTCCTTTCCCAAAGCAAAACAGTACTAAGGCAAACTGGCCTTGGAAGATGGGCCATAAAATTTAGTCCAGAACCCTAAATAAGCCACTTTGCCATGGGTTGATTTCTCCATCTGTAACATGGAAGTAAATACTATATTTACCTGTTTTTATTTTTTGAATGTTATTGTACATTATAAGACCTTAATACGGGCTGGGGAGAGAGCTCAGCAGTCTAAGCACCTGCCTGGCAAGTGAAAGGACCTGGGTTCCATTCACAGTACCACATGCCAGGCCAGCCCCAGAAACCCGGGATCAGACCAGCCACCAAAACCAGGCATTGTGGCATATGCCTGTAATGCCAGCACTGGGGAGGCTGAGATAGGAAGATCACCATGAGTCCAAGCTGTGTAGCGGGACCCTATACCAAACAGATAGATAGATAGATAGATAGATAGATAGATAGATAGATAGATTTTTTTAAAAATTAAAAAATCTTAATATGTCATGTGAAATATAAGAAATAAAAACTAGTGACCATGACAATGTTCAGTTCTAAAGGTTTTTGCATAATAGCCTATAGGAAATCTATTCACATAAGAATATATAATTTACTTGCCATTCAAAGTTATATTTAAGTCCTAAGTACCTATTTCCATTGATTCATGAAATAATACTATTTATTATGTAAAAATACATTTCTGCCACCTCTTCTCTTTCTCCCGAAATTAGGCGACAAAGGGCTAAAGAAGAAACATGAGAAAAGTCCACATGGTGTCAGTTATTACCCAATGGCGATGGGCCTGCAGGACTAGGAAGGACCCTTCTATTTTCCTGTCACCAACCAGTCTTCAAGGTCTCTTGTCTCCGATTACAAGTCTCTGTGCTGTTGTTTCTGTATTAGGTCACTGTCTCCAGATTGCCCATTTGACAAGATAAGGATTACATGTCTATGCAAAGCACCATGCAGGGATTTAAAGCATTTTAACTCATTTAAATTTTTTATACATTCTGTCTACCCAAGTCATAATAACCTGTGATCCTTTTGACATAGAGCAGACAATATTTTAGCTTGTGACCCTGGTTCCAGTGGCTGGAGCTGTTAAGTATTATACTCATCTATGCACACATATTGAGCTCACAGATATTAAATGACTTGAGACACAGCCAGTAAATTAGTTTCCATAGCTAAATAAAAGTATAACTGGCAATCTTTATAGCTGTTTTTAAAATAGGTATTATTTAATGCATTGTATAGATGGGAAAATAGGAGCAAAGGGAGGGCAAATAACTTGCCCAAAGACATAATGCTAGCAGATAAAAAAAAAAAAAAAAAAAACAAAACTAGAACTGAAACAGCACCAAAACTCAATAATTGTTGCTCTTAGCTTGGCTGTAAGTACTCTGGAAGGCTGAGACAGGCGGATCTCAAGTTTGACCTCAGCCTGGGTGATCTAGCAATTCAGTGAAATCCTGTCTCAAAAATTTCTACAAAAGGCTATGGATGTACATCAATGCAAAGATCCTGGGTTCAATCCTTAGTATCATCAAAAAAGGGAGAGGCTCTTAACAAAGCCATTCCTCTAAAATAGGGAGTCAGGTTTATTCAACTTTGCTTTGAAATTTTGGAAACCTGAAATGATACAGTAAGATACATCAACCACGCCAGACCATCCTTTGTGGACCAGGTAAAGTGCAAGAATTCTTAGGTGTACTTTGTGGCCATGGGTATATTCCCTCAACACCAAGAGCAAAGGATTTGTTTATTAACTGAGGACGGTAAGAGCCTGTTAACCTTTCAGCCCTAAGGACTGACGGTAAAAGAGATAAACTGAAAGGCTGCTTCCCTCTTGGCAATTAAAAAAAGATAAAGGAGGTGGCTTCATAATGCAGGGACCAGCAAAGCTTTCTGATATGCTGTTTTTTATAGATAAGAGATCTTGCTGCCTTTCTCACAGACAACAGGAATATATATATATATATATATATATATATATATATATATATATATTCTACTCTGTGTCAAAAAAAAATTTTGCTCGGGGTTATCTGTTAGTTTTCAGTGCTATTACCTGGACCTCCTGGCTCTGAGAGATGGATGTTGACCCCTCACAACTGACAAGCAGATCAGGAGAGGTAAGTTGCCAGGCCAACTCCAACAGTACATTGCATGAAGAGTGAAGAAACTAGTCAGACAATGAACACCAAGCTAAAAACGCACAGGACTGAAATCCTATTTTAATGCCTGCTTCTTTCCTGAAGGCAGCTATTTGCATATTATTTATTTTTAATCTTATGGCTGACAGATTGATTCATAATTAAAGCTGTGTCATATGTTTGCCCACCAACTCCCCTCTAAAACAGACTTAGGTAGGGTTTTAGGTGCCAGATTGAATCAAATCCTTTTTTAAAGCCTTTCAAAATATAGAAGGGGTCTGAGCTCGAAAATCTTATTGCTCCTGAGCTTTGTGAAGGCTGCTAACTGGGCACTCCTGTCAACTGAGTTATTATGGGAGTTCTCCCCAGTAGCAAAGATGACACTTCCTAATGGAGACAATATTGGACAGCGCCAAAAAAAAAGGAACATCCATCACACTCTTTTTTAACTCTCATTAAAGCAGCCTTGAACTTGTAAAAGTATAATTGAGGCCTACTATATTTTATGGCCAAACATGGTCCTAAAGTATTGGTTTTCAAGCTTTTTAAAGGAAGTCATTTTCCAAACAAAAGGTTATAAGCTCCATATAATAAAAACAATAAGGGCAAGCAACAGTGCTTCGTACTTTCTATGGGTCAGACCTCCTACAACCACTTTGCGTGCATCATCTCATTTGATTACTGCAGGAACCCTACAGAGGCAGAATCAGTGCTTAGTCTATGACTCAGGCTTCCTAGGTCTTACTGTTTCTGAAATCTGAATGTATATTCGAACTCAGCAATTACCTTTCTTCCTTTACGCAGAACCTAAAGAGCAGTTATTAGGTTGATTATATATCAGTGAATCCATGGTATACTGCCACTGAGGATGTACAATGTTATCCTTTTGTTGGTGGCGGTGGTGGTTTTTAGTATTAGGGATTGAACCCAGGACTACACACTGAGATGTATCTCCAGCCCTCCTTTTAACTTTTATTTTGAGATAAAGTCTCTCTCAGTTGCCCAGGATGGGCTCAAACTTGATGATCTTCCATCCTCAGCCTGAGTTCTGAGACTATAGACATTCAGCACCATGCCTGGCTTGATACTCTATCTCCTCCCCACCCCCCTTCACACAGGGTTTCACTATATAGTTTAGGCTGCCCTTGAACTCACTATGTAGCACAGGCTGGCCTTGAATGTGCAGTAACCCTTCTGCCTTAGCTTCCTGAGTGCTGAGTCTACAGACATGCACCATCACACACCACTGGTATCCTCATTTTCACAGACACAGCAGCAGAGACCTCCAAGGATAGCATCACATAGGTTATCAGGAGGCCAACCTATAATCTGCACTCAGATTGCTGACTCCAGAGCCTAAAGCTTGAACCACCAGGCTACCTAGCTGCTCTAGCTGACATGTGGACGGGGGGCACTTTCTTAAGGTCCACCGCCCCACTTGGGAAGGTACCAAGGCTTCTCCACAGAAAGTAAGTGAAGTAAGGATTAGAAGTCACCCTTCCCAAAAAATTTGGACAGTGTAAATGGTGCATAAATTAAGCAAATTTGGGGCCGGGAAGATGGCTCAGTAGACTAAGTGCTTCCCTGGTAAAAGCAAGGGCCTGAGTTCAATCCCTGGTTCCATAAAAAAAAAAAAAGATAAGTTAAGCAAATTCATTCTATATTCTAAACTTTCAATTTAAAACCAGAGGACAGGGGGCCAGTGAGATGGCTCAGTGGTCT